AAAACAAGTGTCAGAAGAGGAAGCAAAATTTCAGAGATATATGTGTGCTAATCTGTATGCAAATATGATTGCAAGTATGAGTGTGACTTTTGAATGCAAATTTCAGAGAAATATATTTGGTAAATGGTTCTTTAACTTCATCGTAGACCTCTCACCTTCTTGAAACTTCAAACTTGCTGTTGACTTCTGATATCTTAAACATATCGCCCACTCTCGGTCTGGATATTGCTCCATTCCCTAGCAGACCTAGTCCTAGCCTCGTATAGTCTTGCACATACTGTCTCTCGGCCAGCTTCTCGACGGTCAGCATGTCACTTGTCGGCTTCAGGGTCGTCGTACTATCAACCTCGTCTATAACTGTGGAGTTGGAAGTACACAAATTAAAGATGACATAGATTAGCATGGGAGGTAAATTTATGGGATATTATGAGATTTCCTGGAAATTCTCAAGAACTTTAAAATGCTTGTAAGCATTTGTCTAAGAAAAACTTGAGGACAAATTATGAAATTTAATTTATCTTCTTTTTTTTATGAGAATTTTAGTAAATTACCAAATAGATTTGGACACATTCAAATCTAAAAGCTTAGTTTTTGAAGACTAGTCAATGCATGTAATAACAAAAGAACCATCTCCAAAGGGTGAATTAATACCATGATACAATTCTGAAAAAGTCTCATTTCAGATTTACAGAGGACTTAGTCCTACTTAATTTCATTTTGAAATTCAAATGGTGCCCTAACCCAATAATTGATAATTTTTTCATCATCTGTCTGGGCCCCGTTTCATAAAACTTGGGATCACTAAAAAGTTACAATAACTGTTATAAGCTACTGAAATCGTGGCGTTTGATTACGTAGATGCGAGCAAATTTGTCATAGATATTTAGCATGTGTTATTATGAAACATGGCCCTACAAGAGTAGCCAAGTACAACTCCAAGTGAAAACCTTTCAGGTGCGAGTTAACACACAATTTGCAAATAAACAGCATTGCAAAGTGGAAAAATTAGAATTTAATTTTGAAAAGCAAAGAAATCAGGTTTGGAAAGACAGCATTTTCTTTTTAAACACTGAGATTTAAAAGGAAGAAAGCGCTTCGATGCAAGCATGGTTGCACAAGAAACTGATGCGTTTATGGAAAGATAAAATGCAGGCAACTAAGTTGGACCAGCCTTTTTTTAGTTGTTACTATCATTATTTCTAATAAGCAATATAGCAAAGGACAAATATTGCAAGGTTGTACTTACAAGAAAATTAGAAATAGGAAATCCAATTCACTTTAAATATTTTAAAAGGGGAGAAAATTCTAATTTTAAAGGTCCCATACTCAGGGAGTTTCTGTTGCATATAAAAACTTATGTCACAATGCCTATGTTATAGTGGTTAAATTTTCAATGCAATATCCATTCAAGTGAATGTTTGCATTAATAACCAATATCTGGTACCTGCTGTACATACTAATAAATTTGAAATAATATCGAAGAGGAATGCACAAAATGCAAAATCATATGAAACTAGAGACATTATTGATCAAATACAATCATTATCATGCTCATTTTATCTGTTCAAAGTTTTGCTTTTCATAATTATACAACATAAATTCTGGTTTATTTTATTTTGGTGTTCATAATTTCATTTACACATGTATTAACGTTGATATGACAAGTACATTTTTATTATATTTTAGCTACTGTCGGCAATTTATCATGCTGTTGTTATATCCACACAGAATTTGAGTGAATCAATGTATCTATCTACCAGTAGCTATAATTAAGGAGTAATATTTATAGGAAATGTCTACTTTTTTAATTGCACATAAAATGTTCTTAATATTTTAATCTAAGCATACTTCAAAATAAATTAGATTTACATGAAGTTAATAAAGTTAGCTAATTGAATAGAAAGTAGACACTGCCTCTGTACCTAACACATATCATATCCACTTCACAAACTATTAAATGTGGACATTGTAAATTGCTGTTTTCCTAGTTCTGAATGATCTGAAAGAGTAATATTCTACTTTTCTACTAAACATGTTGTGTTGTAGCTTTTTATTTCTGCTGTAGGCAAGATTACAGAATGATATTTTACAATATAATCTGTACAGTCTTTACAGTATCGCACGTTTCTAAAAATAATTGTGCAATCAGCACAATATGTACAGCTCACTGAGTTATCGTGTTCATCTGAGCTAACAGTATAAAAAATATATTGCCATCCATTAATTGACTACAGGACTTGACAAGTGTTATCTATCTTAGCAAAGATATTCTACTAGAATTGCATTCCATTCCCATGCAACATTTCACTTGCTACAATGCAGAACTAGATGCACATACACAATAGGCCTGTCCACATCAGACCGAAGTTGCAAACTAACCCACTATTGTCAGACTCGGGATAGTTTCCCCGAAGCTCGAAATTGCGTATTCACCAGACCGATACGCTCATTACAAACTAGCTCGGACGTGTGCAAAATAGCGGGTTATTTTGGGAAAAACACCAAGATTTCTCAGGATATTTTCTCCACCAAATAGCCCACTAATTGCAACTGGAAGCTGATAAAGACGCAAATTAGGGGCTAATTTGAGATCGGGCTAATTAAAATAGCGGGTTATTTTGCAACTTCGGTCTGATGAAAACAGGCCTATTGCAAGCTTCTCATCTATGGGATTAGCAAGAGACTCAGGAGTAGCAATGGGTCTAACAAGAGGTAAAGGCTTGGGATTAGGAACTGCCTTGGGATTAGAAGATCAAGCATTATTGTAGTGGCGGACAACTTTTCCATTCGTTTCAACACACAAAGATGACTCAAATGTCAATTTTTCAAAAATGTATCACTCGGGAGGGTCTTTTTTTGTATACAACAAACGGGAGAGTTGTCAGTGTCTACATCACAATCCAAAGACCAACTTGCCAATTTGACAGTTGCACTTATTTAGTGATCTCATATTTCATACATTCATAGCTCTCTCATCATCAATCTGATTTATTTCAAACTTTGCATTTCTGTTTCTCTTATTTTTTGCCTTCACACAAATGAACTTGTTACGGTGGTTGGATTGCCCTTGGAAGTATCTAAATGAATTATGATTGATTCCATGGACATTCACAGATGATCTACAGCTAACCACTTTAATTAATGTAATGACTCAGCTTCACATAGGCAGGCTTCTACACATTCAAGACTCCTGAGATTAGTGATGGAATGAGGGATTAGTTTGAAACACAATCAGAGACATGCTCCTATCTATCATATTATTCATTTGTACCGAACAATAGGATGAACTTATGAACTTATTACGGCCTTGAAGTATCTAAATGCATTAAGATTCCATGGACATTCACAGATGATCAACAACTACCTCCTTAATGAATGTAATGACTCAGCTTCACATACAAGCTTCTACACAACCAAGATTCATGAGATTAGTGATTCAATGAGGGATTAGTTTGATATGCAATCCTAATGCAATCAGAGACATGCTCCTATCTATCATATTATTCATTTGTACCGAACCATAGGATTAACAGGCATGGCTAATGAGGGAGATTAAGACAGGTGTGCTGTCCACCAATGTAACAACATTGAAATAAAACTGAGAAGATGATAGGTAAATAATTGATTAGTACAGGTGTTTAATGGAGGATTAAGACACACGCTGAAGTATCACTAGGTATATTAGTAAACAAGGGATCTATTTAAAGAAGAATGGGATTATGTTCAACAGGTACATGTACATGTATGTAGAGTATTAATTCAAGCCACTCTCACTAACCCCCTTCTAAACTATGCAGATGCTTTGGATCAGAATGGACAAGGCGATTAAGTAAGGTTTTAGTTAATGACGGATTGCTAGACATCCTTGGTAAAAAATAAGGGGGGTAGTGTTCAACGGGCAGATGCATTAATCCAAGTCGTCACTGTCACAAACCACTTTCTATTTTACAGCATTTTTCAGATTAAACATGGACAAGGGTACTAATAAGTATGGATTAGTAAATATGGGATTAGTCAACATCCTTAATCAGGAATTAAGTGATTACGTTCATAAGGCAGATGCACTAATCCAAGATTGCAACAGTCATCAAACTCTATTAAGAAAATTTCTCAGATTAAGAAATGAGAAAATGATTAGTAAATGACCGGATTAGTAAATGATTGGATTAGTGAAGGATAAGGGGATTATCATCATCAACCTTGGGTGGGTTGATCTTCGAAGCCTTGACCCCGCTCCAAGGTGAGGAACGAAGACAGGTCTACGTCTGTCAAAAAGGTGCAAAGTAGAGACACAAACAAGTGCAACATCATATATACTCATCCCTATTCTAACAATATGGTATCATGAGGCCATTAACAAATAACAAATGTTTAGCGTCCTGCCTTTTTGAAAAATAGGAAGGAGGCGGCCCTTTATTTTCTTTTCCAAAATTGCCGCTCGGTACATTTTCCCTGACATTCAGGGGTTTTTTTTCAAGATGGCCACCAGCATTTATTCATTTTTTTTAAAATCAGAAATTGATCATACATGCCAACATTTGAAAATCAGAAATCCGTACAAATTATGCTATTTAAAAAAAAAAGAGGAACAATCCTAACTCTCCTATTCAATACTACAGCCAAATTTGTACAGGAAGAGGAACACCTGCATTAAAATGATAATTATCTTCTCCCAAAAAGAGGAATGTTCCTCTTTAATCTGAACAGTTGGCATGTATGTTTTAGCAGTATGTTTTTCATGTCTTTATTCACTGGAAGAAAAAAAAAAAAAAAAAAAAAACTACAGAAATTGGAGGCGGCCCCCAAAAAGGAAGCAGGCGGAGACGCTAAACATGATTTTTAATAATGGCCTAATACATGTAGATGTATATTTGAAGAGTTCTGCCAATGGAGAAAGTAAAGTACTAGGAAAAAGGTTGAGAAGCATGCAATGACTACATACAGCCCATGAGACCAACAACCCACAAGACCGGTCTTGAAGGCCTACTGAAAATATATCTAAGGTTTCACTAGACCGATGGCCCACAAAAGATAGAGCCCATGAGACCAACCAATAAAGGGCCTTCTGACATCATTTTAGAGTATTGAAAGGTACGACTGTCAGTCTCCTAGGCTATCTGTCAATAAGGATGTCCCTCATGTATCACAATTAGACTATTTTGTCTTTAAACATGAATTACAAAACAAACATTCATCAACTTTTGGCAGTAGACATAATTAACTCCTTCCCAAGTGTAAGCAGAAAATTCCCTTAAAGAATGTGACAGTTGAGCATGTATTACAAAACAAACATTCATTGACTGTTAACAGTAGACATATTATTTAACTCCCGCCCTAGTATTAGCAGAAAATTCAGAGAAAGAATTTAGTTTTCATGAAGGATGATTACAAGGAGGCCTCACAAAGGATTACTGAAGCAAAGGAAATATTACGAGTTGGTGGACATCGATTACAATCAACTGTTTATTCACCATGCAAATTACAGGCCCAATGGATACCATGTATTACATAGGGGTAGGATCATACCGTGGTAAGTGTGATACATGTAATCATGCAATTATTGAGGTGCCATAGTCGAGTGGTCTTATCACTCGACTGGAAGCGCAAAGGTTGTGGGTTCAATCCCCAGCACAGTACTTTTGTCCTTTAGCAAGGTATTTTATTTACATTGCTTCTCTCCATCCAGGTGTTAAATGTTGGTATTATTATCATTATTATTATTATCAAATTATTTATTTTTTATCAATTTTATCATGCCATTATGTGCACTTTATGTGGGAAATTAAAAGTTATTTCTTTTCTTATGTTACAGACCACAGGTAAGATTTTAGTACCAGTACATGTGTTCAATGTCTTAAGTGAATAGCCCTACTACGGCTTAAATCAGACCAAAGTTTGGAGGAATAGGATAGATGTTATGTCAATTTAAAAATGTTAATATTAAACTCCATAATATCTGGTAAGGCTTGGGACACGAAATGACCAAAATGCATTGAAATTGTCCATGTATTAGGAGCACGAATTGATTAAGAAGTTTTTTTTTACATAGAAGCAAAGTTCTACCAAGATTCAGATAAGACAAGGTAAACCACCACAAGAAATCACTACGTTATTCTGCATTATTTCTTTTTCACCTGTAAATGAATGGCAACTGATGATCCAACCACTTCGTAATTTCCTTTAGTGTATTTTTTCCATTTTATTGGCTTATATATCGTCCTTGTTTTCACGAAGTGACGGAAGTGAGGAAAATCGTCACGCAAAGTAAATGCAATTTTTTTTCACTACCGTCACTTCGTGAAAACAGCGACGATATGTTTGCAAGAAATATTTTATTGTATTCTTTGACTTTGTATGTTAATATGCAAGTGGTGAATAAGCTCAATTAAAAATTCAAAAAACTGTGCACAACGAAGGTCCTACAAGTATTCATTCATAGCGCTCTGTGTTGTATAAGCTACAGAAATTTTAAGTGTGTGTCACTTTATGTCATCATTTTTTTTTTTACATGGAGGTTTTGCCATGTCATATCTGAATGAGCCTTAGGTTTGGACTATAATTACATGATATCTAATTTTTTCCTATCTCAAGGAACAGAAAAAGGTACAGGTAATGGATATAGAGCCCCAAATGTGTTTATTGGAAAGTGTAGGATTATTCTTTGTACACTTAGTGCCACATATAGTTGTCTTGTCTATCTAAATTCACTACGTTCCTGAAAATATATACTCGGTCTCCCGATATATAAATTCTTTTTCCATAATACCTACTAGTCTTTTGATAGCATTACTAAGGAAATTGTTGTGACTGTCCTATTTGAAAGAAAGTGACTAAGAAATAAAAAGTGGCAACTAAAACGAGTGTCATATATAAAATTAGTGGCATATAAAGAGAGTAGCATATAAAAGGAAGGGAAAGAAAAAGTGGCATATAAGATGAGGGGCAAACAAAAAGTGGCATATGAAAAGAATGTCATATCAAAAGAGTGGCATATAATAAGAGTATCATATTATATAATGTGTAAGGCAAATTAATGGAATATAAACCATGAAAGTGTAATAAATAAACAGGCCAATTTTGCCCTTACTTGAAAGCTCATCCTCGTCGAACATAAGGCTCCCTGGACGACTGTCCGTTCTGACGCTCTCCATGCTAGCGGTCAGCAGATCTTCCTTCAGCATCGTGGACGAGGCCAGAGGCATGGTCCTCCCGCTGCCCCCTGGAGGGAGGACGTACTTGTCCTTGCGGGTGGACATCTTGCTGGACTTCTTGCCGCCACGCAGGAATGTTTTTGTGGCAAATTTTCTGAGGGGAGAGAGAATAAGTTGGTGTATTTACATCCTAAGGTTAAAGCCTAAAACACTACAAACTAAATGGATTTATAGAGCATATTATATAAAATTTCATTTGATATTTTCATACATTTTGATACTGTTTACAAGTCTACTCCATGATTGATGAGAATTAGTATGGTGGCCAATAATTTTAATGTACCTCAAGGTCGCACTCTTCTCCTTGTGCTTCATCTGGGTGGAGAGTGCTGGTGAGATGAGATGGCGAGGGTAGGCGAAGGTATGGAAGATGCTCTGAGGATACCGGAGCTTGTTGCACATCTTACGGAACGTCTCCAGCCTCTCCAGACTCACCTCCGCATCAAACACAATCTTCATTAACTACAAGAGGAAAGGATAGTGGAAAAAAAATATGATTTGTAGAGCAATAATGTAATACAATGATAAATATATCATATCTTTATGTTTTTTAATTTTCATTTGATGTGTTAAAGATGTAGAAATCTTGGTCACAATTCTACAGAATTTAAATTTTTTGATAGTTCATTATTGAAGGAAAACATATTATCTAAAGATCATGATGGTGAGAGCAACCAGTGGCATGAATGGCCTGCCATAGTTAAGTCCAACTTAAAGTTGATCTTAGTCTTTGTAAAACACCAACCTGGATTCTTTCAACATATTTCATGAGGCACACAAGGCATGGATGCCAAGAAGATGAAATACCGTAGGTAAAAAAAATCAAAGTAAAATGTTTTATTCCAATTTAAATTCTGATAATTACTGTATTCGTGTCATTTCTTCCAATAAGTTCTAGTCTTTCTCTGTGAAAATTTGAGCATATTCGCCTAGACATCTACAGGAGGTGGATTAAACTTTCAAACTAGCTAATGAGCATTGGTTGTTTACCTGAAAAGTTATTCATTTTCATTTAATTGCTTGAATTCTCAGGTAGTCTTAGGTTTGTGCTATCTTTACATCAACTGGAAGCTTTTAATAAAAGGATGACCCGGTTAAAAACTTACCTGAAAAGTGTTTGATCGGAGCTGAATGCCCTCAGGTAAGAACTGATCTAAGTGGAAGGTATTGCCAATGTTCGTCACGTTAATCTTCTTCTCCTTAACAAGCGCGGAGACAGGGAAACTTCTCGTGACCACTTGCTCACAAGCTAAAAATGAAGAAATAAAATACAAGCACGATGTTCATTGAGATCATTGCGTATTAGGTTGTTACGTGGTATTGTTGGATACCTGCGACTCTACAGTGTGCATACTTAGCTATTTGCAGATAATTGCAGAGATGCCAACCTCTTCACACACAAAAAAACAGACTGAATATCCTTTTAAAAAAAATCAGATTTTCACGAAAAATCAACACTTCTACTGACCCGTTGGCCCCGTGCTAGTAAAATGTCAAAAAAATGTTTTACTGGTAAGAATGGGCAAGTAAAATGTTGCCCTTTCTACACTTTACTTTGCATACCAATGGATAAACCCTTTTGGCTATACAAAAGGTTGAGGGAAAGAAGACATCACCTTCTCTATGAAAGAAATGACTCCTTTGAAGAAACGATTCCTACACTTTAGCTTGCATATCAATGGATATGCTTTTTAAAGCCCCACTGCACTACTCATACCTACTTTCGCCCTCTATATAGCAAGCAATGGTGACCGTTGGTCCCCCATGGTCCCCTTTTTCTTATGTTAATTGAGAGCTGATTTGATGAGATAACCACCTGTCAGTGACCATGCAGGGGAGGTCTAATCCATCCCGGCCATACTAGTGCAGATGGGCTTTAAGGTAATAAAGAAAGTTGTGAGGAAGGAGATATCCTTTTTCTCTATGAACAAAAATGACTCCTATGAAGAAATTATTTCTAGAATTTACCTTGCATATCAATGGGTGTGCCCTTGAAGATGATGCGATAGGTCGTGAGGAAGACAGCGCCCTCTGCTGGTAGGAGTGTAGGTCCGCCCATGACCCCTCCTTGACCTTCTTCCCTGCCGTCCAGCACCAGGTAGCCTCTGAGGCCCTCCATGACCTTCTCTTCACCGGGCAAGAAAGTGGGTTTCAGGATCTTAGGCTGGAAAAGTGAACAATGTAATTTGGGGAGTTACGTTGTCAACTACACAGTTACGGTGTAAATTATACAGTTACAGTGTCAATTATACAGTTACAGTGTCAATTATACAGTTACAGTGTCAATTATACAGTTACAGTGTCAATTATACAGTTTCAGTGTCAATTATACAGTTACAGTGTTAATTACAAAGTTAAAATGTAGGAGGTAAATGCTTATGCCCTCCATGACCTTCTCTTTCACCGGGCAAGAAAGTGGGTTTCAGGATCTTAGGCTGGAAAAGTGAACAATGTAATTTGGGGAGTTACGTTGTCAACTACACAGTTACGGTGTAAATTATACAGTTACAGTGTCAATTATACAGTTACAGTGTCAATTATACAGTTACAGTGTCAATTATACAGTTACAGTGTCAATTATACAGTTTCAGTGTCAATTATACAGTTACAGTGTTAATTACAAAGTTAAAATGTAGGAGGTAAATGCTTATGCCCTCCATGACCTTCTCTTTCACCGGGCAAGAAAGTGGGTTTCAGGATCTTGGGCTGGAAAAGTGAACAATGTATTTTGGGGAGTTACGTTGTCAATTACAGTTACGGTGTGAATTATACAGTTACAGTGTTAATTAATAAATTACAAATTTACAATGTAGGAGGTAAACTCTGAGGCCCTCCATCACTTTCTAACACATACCTTTATCAATTACAGATTTACTAAGACGATTTCTATTACAATTACTGTTACTAACAAAAGTTAGAGTTAATTTCAAGGCAATATGGTTTTCACTTCACAAAGAAATTACCTAAACTATTTAGATTTCATGTCACAGAAAATGATTTTGATTTCCTCTTTGCATGGCATCAATGGCCTACAGCTGTGAAGACCGCAAGGAAGGATATTGCAGACATTGCAGACTGGAGTTTAAAATGGTCAAATGCATCCTGATAAGCACAAATGGAGAAAGCGCTAAAAACAGTCTGCAATTATTCAATTGACACTTTTCCTTGTGTTCGTATCCTTACTTTCTTTTCAAACAATGTGACGGAATATACATGTACATACCTTTTGAATGGGTGGTAATCTCTTGCTTTCCCTGTTGACCGCATCTAATGTCTCTATATGCATTGCTACTAGCCCTGAGAAAGGATAACCAGTCAAATTCATTACATTGCATGTGATTAAGATGAACAGAAACATCGCTATAATATTATCTACTAGCATCATCTATTGTTTTGAATTCTTCATGACATGAATATGTACTTCCATCCAACTCTCAACATCTTTAATAACTGAAGTTATACCAACAACATCTACTATTTGTGGGGCCCCACAAATATTAGAAATGTGTATATTCGTGGATATTTCAGCCGTCTCTGAACCAATTTTTATCAAACAAAGATGATTTTGTCATTTAAATTGAATGCTCTTTCAAATTTGACACTCAGTTTTTTATTATCTCACCAAAAAAAATATTTTGTGTAGCGCCTTCTATACCAAAACTCAACTATCCCTTTAACTCTTGACAGAAACTGGAATTTAAAAAATATATATATAATACCTGGTATAAGACCGTGGAGGTTCTTGAGGTGTTCATGTGAGACGCCTGCCTCGGTGCAGACCTTGTCAACGAACCTTGAGATGAACTTGATCACCCTGGTAGCTACGTCCTTAGGATCACTCTCACCATAATGGTCCTCGGCGTTATAGCTATCACTACCACCAACACTGGAGGTGTATAGAAGAGAGGGATGGGCGGTGCAGAAAGAAAGAGAGAAGCAAAGAAAGAGGGAGGCAGGGAGAGAAAGAGGCAGGCAGAGAACAAGAGGCAAATACAGAGGAAGGCAGAGAACAGAAAAAGTGGCAAACAGAGAGAAAGAGAGAGAAGGGCGAACAGAAAAGAACAGAAAGAGAGAGGTAGACGGAGAGAACAAAGAAGAGGCACAGACAGAGATGAGCAGTGCAGAAAGAGGAAGAAGGCAGAGAAAGAGAAGGCAGACAGAGGACAAAAAAAAGTGGCATACAGAGAAAAAAGAAGGAAAGAGAAAATGGGACAAAGAAAGAGGCAGACAGAGAACAAAGAAGAGACAAAGACAGAGATGAGCAGTCCAGAAAGAGAAGCAGAGAAAGAGAGAGAGACAGGCGGAGGACGGAGAAGAGGCAAATGAAGAGATGAGGAGTGCAGAAAGAAGAAACAAGGAAAGCAAGAGATAGGCAGACAAAGACAGAATGAGATACAGATACAGAGAATAGAAGAGCAAGACCAATAGAATATCGTGAAACAGGCGGAGATAGAAAGACAGGCACAGAATTTAAAGAGAAAAACCAACCAAATCAGCAGAAGAAAAAACATAAATTCAAGCAAGCAAAAATAAATTTTAGAAAACAAAAGTGGCAAGAGAAGCAGAAAATAGTAAGAGCAGAGAGTAAGGATTAGGGAGAGGGAGAGAAAAGGACCAAGAAGCTGAAACATACATGTCGACACTAACAATGTTCATTAGTCAATACTGCTTCAAAATGTATACTTTACGATTATTTGATATTAGTTGTTTAGTTAATTAGAACCAGTAACTAATATGAAGAATGCTAAAAGCATTGATGTCTTATATTCTTGTATGTATTCATAATTTGTAAACTGAATTGTATGGTTCTCCAGATATTTTATTCAGCATGTTTTTATTTACAATAAACCAGAATAAACTCAGAATACCGCATTCTTTTTTATTATTACATTATCCTCTAGATGAGGTGGTAACGTAAGACTTAATGAGACAAACTCTTTGAATTAAGAAATAGCAACACCGTGTAATCTAATGCAGGGTATCTTTTTTGCCATAATTTAATAGAGGTTATTGGAAATATAGTCACACTTTGTTAAAACATCAGGAAAAACTTTGGGCATCCTATCTGGCACTTCATATTCAAGTCGTTCGTAAAGATCCCATAGCAGATAACGCTGAGGAAAATGTGAGATGACCTACCTTCCGGTGATATTGCTGCTACCGCCACTATCCCCCTCCAGCGTGATAGAGTTCTTCAGGCCTCTATGGGCGTCCAGTGGCACCCTCATACACACCATCCTGTTAGCATAGTGCACCGCCTGACTGTACACGATGCTCTCCTCGTTACTCTTCGCCTCTTCCCTCGCGTCGTGGTTCATGTTGGGCTGGAGGCGGAGCTGCTCTGCAGCGATGTCCAGTGGGCTGCGCTCGGCGGAGGTGATGAGGCCGTTGGCTGCTGCGCTAGAGGCCGAGGAACCGGAGGCATCGGGGCCGGCCGCGAAGGCGTCGTTGAAGCTCTGTTGGCATAAAGAGGAGAATGGGATTGTTGGTAGCACTGTTGTAGGGAGATTTGGTGAGTTTTAAGCTATTTAAAGGCTTGGAGTGGGGGGAATTCTTGCTACAGCAACCATGGTATTTGGCCATAGAGGGCAGCACCAGGAGGGCCCAATTGCACAAAACTAACCATTGATGGTAACTTTGCCACCAATGGTAACTATCATGCAAATCTTGATTTTGATTGGCTGTTGAGCCCTGTTACCATGGTAGTTGCCATTGATGACAAAGTTACCATTAATGGTAAGTTTTATGCAACAGGCTCAGACACGGGGATATTTGGCAAAGGCACATCTGTTCACATATAAATACAACGGGTCAAGAATTTGGAGATCTGATAAATACTATAGTTTGGGAACCAATAAACTATAAGTACATGTAACAGATTATGATGGTGCCTACATAGATCTCATCAAATCAATGGGGGAGTTCATGAAATCTCAACAATAGTTGAGTAAAATAATGAATTAGTTGTCACTGCTGTACATTCTCTATGGAAGCTGGAAGAAACCTCATCTTATCTTCTTCCCCAGTATCGTATCTGTGCATGTGCTGTTTAACTTCATATTTGCGGTAGGGTCAATTATAAGAGCAATCCTTGTCATGTGACACTACTTAATCAGAATGAGAAAGTTCACAGATTATTTCTTATCTTAAAGATAAAGTTGAGTTCTGGTCATGCAATTGCATTGTGAAAGAAGCGTTGTGGAATCAATCAGAAAAGGTTGATCATCTAGCATATAAATATTGGTGTGTACTGCAAGGTTCTGGAATCATCAAAATAAAGTTACAAGCACTGTACAAAGACAGATGTATATGGGACTACACGAACATGTGGCAGAAAAATCTGTCCCAATTTTTATGTTACATGCCATATTTAAAATAGTAAGGCATTTGAAGAGTCATGCTTTTCAGGGAACATTTTTTATCTGATGTTCTTCCACACCTGCATATGAAAACGCTCACAAATTATTTTTCACCTCTCCCCAGAACTCAACCTTCTCTTTAACCAGAACTCATCTTTCTCTTTAAAGCTTTTTAAAACAGGACTTGCCTGACTGACATCTTTCTTCTCATAGGTAGGTGTGTTGTCTGGAGTGACATAGAGACTCTGGATGTTCTTCTCCACGTCGGCATAGAATGCCGTCTCCCAGAATGCGTGGCTTGCAAAGACAGGATGATCCTGGGTGACCGTGTACGCAAACTGGATGATTCCAGGACACAGTTTCTGTGTTGATGGAGAGCAAGAAAACATGTGTAAATCTCTTAGCATCATTTAAAGGGACAGGTTAAAGAGTAAAAATATGTATACGGCTAGTGTAAGCCAGTTTACACATGAGTTTTGCCTTGCAGTTTTAAAGTTACTACTTTCTTATTTAAAAATACTTTTTCCTTTGTGAATACTTTTTTCTTTTTCTTCTTTCATTTATTAATGTAATTAATTTATTATAATCATAGATTAAGCAATATTTTTGATGTGTTTTTATGCTTGAGTCTGGGACTTTATCTTTGAATTATGCAGAAACTAGTTAAGTTTTGATAAGTAGAGAATATACTAGTGAATGATAAACCCTAAAATAAATGCCAGACAAGTGATTTCTTGAAAATGCAAGTGTTTCAGGAAAAATGTCATTTGTCACCGATTACAAGTATTGTTGAATCTATGTTTGATCCCTTCAATGTTCACAATTAGCGATACAATTAAGCTAAAATTGTTTGGTTAAATTGCTCACAGTCATAGTTTCATTCAGCAGTGTGAAACTTTGAACTTTGAACTTACCCGACAGAACGCTGATATGAGGGGTAGGAAGTCCATGCTCAGACTGAACTCCTCGCTATGAGAATCTTCCTGTAAACATCAAAGACAGTATTACAGTCAATATTACTGGCAAAGATTGTTTGATCAAGTATTATGGGGGAGGGGGAAGAGTATTTATTCCCTGGATTCTGTCAATATATCATTTTTCTTCTTTAGGTGCCATGTCCTGAGACGTTGGCGACCATGGGATACCACAACTCTCTGTCCTATAATCTTTGAAGTAATTCATTCTCCCCAAGATCGATTCCACTTTCAGAAATCCCACCCCTTAAGCTACTAATCCACAGAATCCTCCTTCTACCCCCTACTCCTCCTCCTCTCGATTCTTCCAGTCAGTGCAATATTTTCCAAACCATTCTTTCGAATAACATGACCCAAAAGTCTCAGCTGTCGACCTCTTATATTAATCAGAAGCTTTTGTCTTGTTCCTCTAATGGCAAATACCTCATTATTAGAAACTCTATAATACATTATTAAAGAAAGTAATTAAGGACGTGAAATAAGGTTTACATTTAAACTTTGAAATTTAAACTTGGGACTTGAACAGGGATTACAACTCTGGATCCTGCAATCACCACTCACCTGTAGGGCTGCATTGATGAGCCTGACGACCATGCTAAACTGCTGTGGCTCCAGCATCGCTCGGTTCTTGTTGACATGCAGCTCCAGTTCATGAAGAAGAGCTTGCCTAGCAACCCTGCTCTTCAGGGACCGCATCACTGCTGGGAACAACTGAAACGAGATGGAGTAGTACAATTTGAGGGGTCAGTGACAAAAAGACGTAACTCCATTTTGAAAAAAAGTAGTTTATGTGTCACTGAGTACTTGGGCATTAAGGAGTTAAGTCTACATGTATGTTTCAATAGTCATTGACTTCAATGGGTTGTTGGGTGGAGTTAAGTCTTTGTGTTTCCTGAAAAGCCCACATTTTTCTGAAAATTTTGATATCAAATACTCATTTTGGCAAAATATGGAGTTACGTCTTTGTGTCACTGAACCCTTGAATTATGATTTAAAAAAAAAAAAAAGTTTTACCATACCAAAGATACAGAGGTACACGTCTATTCATCCCCTTTTGATGGTAGCTTTATGAAGCCCACTAACTATGTTCTTTCCTATGTGCTAAAACCCTTTCATAACAGCATCACTGCTGGCAACAACTGAAAAGAGATGGAGTAATACAATCATGATTTTATGTTTCACCATAGCAAAGATTGAGAGGTACATGTCTTTTCATTCTCTTTTTATGGTAGCTTTACGAGATGATTGTTTTGCCTGGAGAACATCACATCACTGCTGGGAACAACTGAACAAGATGGAGAGGTACAATTATGATTTCATAATTCACCCAGGGATGCCAGTTAGAATAAATCAGAGGGCCTGAAAATCACCTAGAATGAGCTTTTTTGTATACAAAAAAGACTATGCTAGGTTCTGAAAATAACTTGCCATGGCCTGAATTCAGGCTATTACCGTACCTGAAAACTGGCATCCCTGTTCACCATAGCAAAGATGATTAAGAGGTACATGTCTATTCATACCCTTTTTATGGTAGCTTTGAGGAGCCAACTAACTATGTTCTTTCTTATGTGCTTAAACCCTTTCATAATAGTGATCACATAGCATACCTGTCAACCTTTCAAAGCAAATATTGTGTTTCACAAAGATCCTGAATTGAACTTATCTCTAAGTTAGACTTAACAATTATGGAAAGCTGTTAGCATCTATGAAAATATTTTGTAAAAGTTTTGTTATAAGGCATAACATGTTGATTCAAATCATTCATATTTTCCATCATCAAGGAGATTTCATGTTCTTGATGTGGAATTTATAAAGTCTAAAATACTTGAATTTTTGCTTTTAAATATATATCATTATAAGGCTACAAGTTGCTCTTCATAATATTTAAGTCCAACTTAAGCCTCGGTCACAAAAGCCATTACGAACTGCTACGAATGCCGTACGAACAATTTTTAGACAATGGAAATTCGGGAAGACAATGGAAAAACAGGGAGATTCGTACGAAATTATTGTTCGTACGAACCTTTGTGACCGTAGCATTAGAGTTAAGTTTGACTTAGAATCTTTGTGAACACCCCCCTGGTCTAATAAATACAACCCTCCAACTTGGGACAAAGGATCCAATGAACATACCCTCCTTGCATCCAGGATCTTGTTCTCAAAGATGAAGTTGATGCAGGTCCTCAGAACCTCCAGTCTCCTGGCGCTGTTGTTGACGAGGTTCCTGTGGCCTTCGAAGTTACCGATGGACGCGTTGTAGGGTACTATCTGCTGCTTCTGATTGCGGGGTTTGTTCAGGTTTGGGTTCATACTCTGCATGATCTGCAAAAAGAAACAACGTGAAACCATGAGAAAGAAAATCATCGGTTGTCTGCAGGAAGGGCGTAAGACCTATATATTGTCTATGGTAGCAAAGGCTATCTTGTGGGAAGTGGGTGAAATGCTTTGTCATGAATAAATGTTACGGTACACAAAATCTCTTTTCTTCCCCTTTTGTTTCTCCTCGCTCTCTCTCCTTCAATATTGTTGGATATTTCCTTTTCCCTCTATCGTCATATTTTACCTTTCTAATTCAACATGTCGTACTGATTTTAATACCTATTTCTTGATCATTCTATGCGGTTGCTTTTATTCTATTCATGATGCTCTAATAATGCCTTTTTATTGACAATGTTTTTAATGTACATCTTGAAATGACATCGTAATTGTAAATTTTCACAATTCGACCTTGTGGCCACAAGTAAGGTATTCAAATAAACAGGGATGCCAGTTAGAATTGATCAGAGGGCCTGAAAATCACCTAGAATGAGCTTTTTTGTACACAAAAAGCCTAAACTATGGTCTCAAAATAACTTGCCAGGGCCTGAATTCAGGCTATTGCCTGAAAACTGGCATCACTGAATAAAGCAATTTGAATTGAATTGAATAGAATTGAATTGAAGCAACAGATTGATTTCACTCATGTAAACCTCAAGTTTTAAACACTCACTGCTTTTGCAAGACCATCATCTATCACATCGATAATTTTGTCGTTGCTCAGGCTCGGGAACGGATACTCGTTGATGCGTGTGTAGGTGCCATCGGAAGGCTTGGGGATCTTCTGAAGATACTGCGCCTTGGTTGGATTCTCCTGCAGGTATCAAAGGGAATTGATTTTGTGTTACTTCGATGATGAATCAAGGATTTTGTAGGATAGCATTATCCATGCATGCATTGTGACCTTCTACCCTAAACAACACCACATTTACCCCAAATTTACCACAAATTAGCCCCAAACTTTCCAAAAATAAGACCCAAACAAGCATACAAATTACCAAAACATTTCTGGGGGCAAGGGGCTTCAGTGGTCCCCCTCTCTAAGAGTAGTTATTTTCAATTGAGCATGGTTTCCAAATTGATATGATTACATGTCCATGTATTTACAATATGGCAATGCATGTAGATAAAAGACTATCATATGGTCCCATCAATTTGCATTCATGTACCCATACATATACCCAGGAACCCATAACAAGGAAGGCTTATTCAATAATATGTTTGTTTCTGATGATGGAAGGCTTTACAATTTCCAAAAATTAAAAACTCTTTGGGCTAAAAGATAAAGTAATATGTATAGTCCCCTTTACCCCAAAGTAGCGTTCTTCAAGAAAAATATGGTTATTGGAGATTGCAAAAGATATTTAGGAGATCTCCTTAATCTTGACATTTTTAAGTGTAGGATATCAGTTATTTTCCAAATTGAAATCTAATTCAAAGGGAGCAATTTACAAGAATCTTTTATTAAGGAATATTCCATTTTCTTGATGTTGATGGGCAGTAGAAGGTCACAATACAAATCAAGATTCTCTTCTAAAACTCTTTAGCAAGAAATTCAATTCCAAGTTCAAGCTCTTCTCTCAAGCCTTGAAATTAATCATGCAGTTCTCATCACAAAGTTTCAAATCCTGGAAAAAATTAAACCTTGCAAAATTATTCATTCAACATACGTATGTGCCTAAAAAGAAAATTCAAGTAAATGATTCCAAATAAAGTTTGTGTTGGGCCATGCTTGCAGGTCATGCCATCCCAAATCTTAGCTTTAATCAAATCAAAATATAAAATCACAATAAATCATAATCATAATTGATCTTTATCAATCAAATACATGTACACTGTATAACAAAGTCAGTCTTTCAAACAGTGATTTTTGCTGGCTAAAAGAAAAAACAGTTTCTTCATACTGGAAAACTTGGCACTTAAAATTCACCCCAGCCATATATAAAGCTGTTTCAATAAAATCCCTATTTTATGAGCTTAAAAAAAAGCCAAAAACACTCAGCGCAAAATTCAGGGACATTGAAACTTGCAAGATATATAACACACCTGTAACTGGCCCAGAACATACTGTAAAAAGAATATATGCATTTGATATATACTGTAGCTAGTGTATTATGTAATGTTTTGTATTTTCTTTTCATAGCATAGATAAGGTAATACTTTTCTATCGGACTTTAATATGAATTAAAGTACCTGACAAAACTGCCCAAGATAGAATTATCAAGTACTACAGATTAAAGAGAGCAAGTACATGTACTTTTATTTGGTCTGCTAATAGCTGGAAAGGCACTAAAAGTTTAATCTAAATTAGACTATAAATGATTTTTAAAATGCCAATCTAGCCCTTTAATAGCAGATATTCTATAGCGTCATGCCCATTTGCTACCACTATGCTAAAGCCTGATACCCATGTATCATTGAACAGAATGAAAGGAGCGGAGAGAGAGATGAAATAGTCTGCTGAGAGCCAGAAGGGTGTTAAAACTCTGTGTTAAAGTATATGAGTTAATGCCTTTCTGGCTCCAGACCAAATGTTCTAATGGCATTAAGACAGAGTAAATACATGTGGATGGACAGTAAAAGTCAAAAGTTTAGTGTCATATTTTGAATTTTGAAATTGCCTTTGAACCGCTGTCTATCTACGATTCTACAAGAATACAGAGAGTAATTTTTACAATATAAGCTCTATGACGTAACTAAACTTTTGAGATTAACCATTATACTGAAGCTGGATGAGTTTAAATATAAGATGTTGGAAATTGAATGTTTTAGCCAAGCATTACCCAAGAGTTCTAAAAGTAGATATGAAAGTTAAAGAGCATGGAATTTGATCTTGAAAGATAATAGAGATGGAAAGGTTGTAGAATCATGATAATAATGAATAATGAGTTTCATTTATAGAGTACCTTTTCATGAGATACAAAACTCTTAGTATTTTGTGATATTTCTTATTGTTATACTTACATATCAATTTGGGTGTAATTAGCTTTGACAGCTACATGGATATACATGTAGGTGTATTACAATCACATTCAGTTGGTGTATTGCATCCAATATCATGGGAAGGAATTGTCTTGCATGTGTTGTGTACAAACATGCAAGTGTTTGTTTATTGACAGTGCAAACAAATTTTGTTTTAGAACATAAGCTCCTGCGACAATTGCTCCGTGTTCAATATCTGCCACTAACCAAATTCTGAAATTCAATCCTGGACCCTGCTTTACACGGCATCTATTAAACCTTACCCATAATTCTAAACCCAACTATAACCTTAACCTTAACCTTAACCTTAACTCTATCTCTGGATTGGAGCAATTGTTGAGCCACAAAATGTTGTTCATAACAATTCAAGTTAATGGTGTGTGACAAAGGAGAATTAATTGTACATGTAGGGTGTGAAATCTGGGGAGGTTTGAAATGTATTTTTTATTAAGAATATAAAGCGTAAACAGGAACACATACCACATAACAAACATGTGTTAAGTGTAATTACAACAGTTAAGTTTCCCAAATAACTAAACATTGCATCTCCTGAGAATCTTCAGGCTCTAAACAGACAACATTTTATGAGTAAAATTAGTCTTTACATAATTAAAGGTCACTGACTTTAATAATAATACACGGTTGTTAGCATTTTTTTTTCCTTCTTAATCTCCAGTAAGTGTTTGTTAAATATGTTATCAATGGCTGAAATAAAAGTGTATATATAATGTATATTTGTTAATTGTATTAGATAACAAACATTACTTAATAAATTGTGAGGGGAATCCATAATAGTTCAATATATAACACATATTACAGAATATATGTATATGTAAAAATAATGATTCGTTACATAACTTATTATTTGTGAAACACATTCTTGACCTGAATAAACATTGTAGTTGGTTGTTAACCAATTCTTAATTTACGTGTAGTTATGACAATAAATTGGATGTCTAGTTACAGTTTTAGTCAAGATTACAGCTAAATTACTGTTCTAAGTTTGAATAATCTACCCTGACTGACCCATTTCAATCATCCATACACCTACTGTAGCATAAGTACTGGAAAGGATGTGTAAATCCCCACATGAAGCCAAGGAAATCTAAATTTAGGAAGACTATTCATTTAGAAATATTGATGGAATGATTCTTGAGAAAGAATGGAAGATGAGAGATATATTGTGTCATCACAAGCCTAGCAAAAGGGCAAGAATGGCTGCATGTGCAACAAATGTACTACTATAAAACTAGAAAGATTCACATGCCTGAAACATTCATGAAATTCACCAAGTTTAGATTTGTGAAAGGTTCATGCCCGAAGCATTTGAGTGATGACATTTCCAATACAAAGTGTTGAAATCTGTGACCTTTTAGTACCGCGAAAAAAGGCGGTCCCTAGCAATTAACTCAAATGTCATGTTACAAAAGGTTTTGGTTGTACAGTAGATCTAAGCAAAACATTTACTCCTTGCATTGTTGTTTACAGTGATAGGTTATCACTTCAACGATCAAAAAAATAATTAGTTCTGAAATTTGACAATTTTTTTTGTATATGCCCTTCCACCAAGCATGTTATGGTGTGTTTTTGTTGTTTTTTAGAGTAATACAGTGAAACCTGTCTATAAAGACCACCCAAGGGAGACAAGAAAAGTGGTCTTTATAGGCAAGTTGTCTTTATGTACAGGTTCCTTTAGTACATGTTTCAATAAGAAACCATTTTCAAGGGAAACAAAAAATGTGGTCTTTGTAGACAGGTGGTCACTTAAGCAGGTTTGACTGTAGTAGTATAAATGAATGTTTAGTGGTGTTAATAGGTTACAAGTTTCAAGCAAGTTGCCCTGAGTAGCTACCAAGCTGAAAAGAGAACTACGAATGCAACAGCGCATCTTTACCTCTGTAGACATAGACAATATAGATGGGTTCTCCTGTTAATAATGAACAGATTAATCAGAAAAATTAGAAAATAAAGAGAGCAAAACTAGAAAAGGATCAATCGAATTTGATTTGAAGACTGATCAATAGCACAAAATAGAGATACAGTCAAGCTTGTTTAAGATACTGATCAAGTGAGATTAGAAAAATGGTCTTTATAGACAGGTGGTCTTTGTAGACAGGTGGCCTTTATTGTGTAAAGTGAAACCTGTATAGAAAGACCATCTAAACTCAAATAATTTAGGGAATGAATACCCCAAAACAGAAGTAGATCAAACTTATTCAAAAGAAAGACTGATCAAAAGTACAAAAAGGAACAGTCAAACTTTAATAAAAGACTGGTCAAGGAGCATTTACAGGCAGGTGAACTTGATCATGGACAGTAAAACCTTATTACAGGTGATAATGTAAAGCTAAACGATGGGTTAATTTCTGCATTGGTATGGAAACAAAATAATGGTAAAGTTTCAGCATGAAAACTACAATGATTATCTACACTGTCATGGATAACACCCATTAGCACTTTCAATGTATGTTCACCAAGCTTATAGAACTTGCCCCAATTCTAAATCTCATCTACATGCTTCGGCAAAAGTGTAGTTAAAAAAGCATTTAATGTAAACTGAATGAAAATGGAGCCCTAATTAATGGACAAACAATTTGGCAAGTGTAATTTCAATAATTTGCTTGACCAGAAGCCCTTTGGTTTGTTGCCCTGAGGAAAAGGACAAGCAGGTAAGGGTCCAAAGAATTCTGGCCTCTTTGGGGTTTTCCTGACAAAGATTTGCTGAAAAATGGATTAATCCTATGCTCGGCAACTCTAGTTTGAATGATTCTAATTTGCCTGCCCAGGAAGCCATATATTTGTTGCCCTGAGGACAAGCAGGTTAGGTTTGAAAGCAATCCGGATTCTTTGGGACTACCTTGCAAAGCTCTGCTCATCAATGGCTATGAAAGATTATGTAATCCTATGCTTAGCAATTTTGCAAGTGTGATTGATTCTTATTTTTTTTAACCAACCCCACATTTTTGTTGTCCTGAGGCAAGGCAATAAATTGGTCCAAAATGTCTTGGAAAAATGTTGCTGATCAGCCACTAAAGAACAATAATTCTATGCTTGCCAACTTGGTGAGTGATCAATTCTAATCTGTTGCTAAAGAGCAAGCAGGTAAGGATTCATAGCATAGTTTGAGGATTTTTGCTCACTTTTTTTTGTCTTTGGACATTCCCTGGCAAAAAATGTGCAACTTTTTGCAACTTGGTAGGTGACCAATTCTAAGTTGTTTGCCTAAAGCTCACAAGGTACAAGGACCCTGGCCTGCTAAAAGATGGCTGAGGGTGGGTGGCCCTACTTACATTGACATAGAGCCTCTCTGCGACGTCCCTGATGTTCTTAAGCATCCTCTCAGGCTGTCCCTCCTCCGTAGCAAATGTCTCTGGAAGCATCGCGTTCAACTACAGGGAAAAACCACAGAAAAGAAATAAATTAATGCCTATTTGCACTAGGTTGACAAGGAAGGATTAGACTAGACCTCCCTGCATGGTCACTGGCAGGTGGTTATCTCATCAAATCAGCTCTCAATTAAAATAAGAATAGGGGGATCATGGTGGACCAACAGGCACCACTTAGGCATTGTTGGCTGTATAGAGTGCGCATGTAGCTACAAGTAGTGCAGTCCCACTTTAAAGCAAATCTTGAGTTCAAACTCTGCAGGCAGTCTTCTGCGTAAAACAATTTCTATATTAAAAGGTGAAGCGGATGAAGCATAGAAGCTGGTGGTTTTCAAAACATGATTAAAGAGTTGCCACTAATTTAATGTAACTTAATATTTTGTCTTCATGCTTACTTGACAGATTAAACATCTGAAGAATGCACATACAGAGTATGCCAGCTATGTGGCTGCTACACTATAATACATACAAAAAGATTTTTGATTAAGTGTCGCTCTGCAACTTACCTTATCAAAGAGATCACATGGTCTGTAAGGAGGCCCTCTCTCGCTGACGAATGCCCCGAAGCTCATACCGTCCAGAAACTTGCTCAAGAATTCATCTCCTAATAACCCATGCTGGAACAAAAACATACCCTGGAGAAACAAGGACATGAAATGATCAAGATTTTAAGACAAGCAAACACGTTAAAGGGATTGGGTATCTTTGTCTCAGAATTTAAACAAAATCCTGGATTTAGCTCATGCTGCAATCATAATTCTAAACCTTGAGGTCAGTCAGGAATCCCATGACTTTTACAAGCCGATCGCCTGTCTGTTCATCAAGATATTTATGATTGGAATTCAAACTTTCAAAAACCGTTTTCCCAATGTTTTTCATCTTGTCATCATCATCATCATCACCATCATCATCATCATCATCACTATCACTACCATCACCATCATCATAATCACCCAAATCATCACTATCATCATCACCATCACCATCATCATTACCATCTTCACCATCATCCAAATAAACACCATCATCACCACCACCACCACCACCATTATCATCATCGCCATCATCACCATCCTCCTCCCCTCACCCTTTATCATCGTAATAATAATAATAACAACAACATTTATAATGCGCACATATCCACCCCAAGAGATGCTCAAGGTGCCTAACAAGGTAAATACATTAAACTTAAGAAAGTACATGAGAAGTTGCAGAGAACGAAAATAATCTAACATAATGAAATATAATTCAACAACGTTAATTACATCAGATTGTGAAATACACTATGTCTTCACTAAAGAATTCAGACATTAGATAGGTTTTCAAGTTTTTTTGGAACAAATTTTGATTGGCTGACATTTTGATCAAATGGGGTAGAGAGTTCCATAATCATGGTGCAGCAGCTATAAAAGCTCTGTCACCCCAAATCCTCTTTGTTCTTAATTGTATTAGATTTGTTGAATTGGAGGAACGAAGACCTGCACGAGAACTTGAAGAGATATTAAGAAGAGAGGAAATATCGTACCTTGTTGAACGTAATGACAGGGCTAGGGTGGATCCTAATGATGGTGAGACAGGTCCTGTATCCTAGCAGCAGCTCAGCGATCAGACGCAGGAAGATTGCACGTATCTCCTTGTCAAGGAGTTCTGGTTTAGACGGCGTGTCCGAACTCAACGGGAACGCTTGGTCTGCTATCTTCAGATCAGGTCTCAGCACCTAGTACATGACAACAAAATAAATATTTTAAACTACCGGTAAGCATACTGGAAGACCAGGGCCCCATTGCACAAAACTTACCATTGATGGTATCTTTGCCATCAATGGTAACTACCATGGAAACCTTGATTTTGATTGGCTGTTGAGCCATGTTACCATGGTAGTTACCATTGATGGCAAAGTTACCATCAATGGTAAGTTTTATGCAACAGGCCTATATCATTATTTGGGGCAATTTTAAGGGCGAAGTGAAAATGGCCGAAATTAAAAATTGAAAATTGAAACTTTGCAAAAATCAGGAAGGTAGGGGACATCTGAAAAAATTTGTTTAACACATTCAGTATTATGAATCGGGCATTTGATCCACCTTGAAAATCAGAAGTTTTGCCATCACAGCTACATGTATGTCAACACAGAAAAGACATTTAGAATATTGAATACTGGAAATTGATATGCCGATATGAACAAAATTGTTGTGCCATCACTAGTAATTATCAGCTTTTAATTGCCTTACCATAGTAAGTTCATAGTTGATTCTCTCATATATTACGTCCGCTGGCAGCAGTAGATTCACACATTCTGGTATCGACAGGTAGCCCCCGTCTAGATCAGCAACTATTACATCAAGCTGAAATGAAATATAATAATAATAATAATAATAATAAAAACGGTGCTTATAAAGCTCTTACCACTGAAGTCTTTATCACTCTATACTTTTATTATTTACCTTCAAAGGAGGAATTTCATTACCACTTACACTACTTTCCTTCTGGTTTTCATTTGTCTGTTGGTTATTTTGTTTTTTCTTATACAGATATAAGAGATAGAATATGTCACATTCAGGTATCGACAGGTAGCACCTGTCTAGATCAGCGACTATAAAGGTCAAGCTGAAACTAATAGGCAAGCAAAGATTTAATTAAATAAGTAAATTTAAGTTCAAGTTTAAGTAAATCATGTTCTATTGGTGTGTAAGAAAAGCAGGAAAGACTGAATATTTTAGATTGAAACCAGTATAGACAGACCATTGAGGAAGAACAAAAACAACATCTATGGGCAAGTGGTCTTTATACAAGCACATCTTTGATCATATGATGCTAACAATTTGTGAAGAAAGATCTCTCTATACTTTTTGAATTACCAAGACAGGACAATTTTATTATGTAACTAGCATTTACATGGTCTTCCGATGGCCGTATTTTTGTTATTTCGCGATCAAGCTCAGCGAAGAACCAGAAGAAGATAATAAGATGTAAGCAAGATCTTGACCTTCTTTTTTATTACAGTGTCATGATGTTGTTTGTTTTTGTTATTGTTCTTGTATACATATTTCTTTTCTATTGGGGTGGGGGGGGGGGGGGGGGGGGGAGGGTGGGGTTGAAAGGATAGTTCATCTGCCATAAGCCATACTGACATCTGGAAAGACAGAAGGATCTCTAGGAACACCAAGATTCATATGATGAATACTTTGGTCTTTCCAATCCCTACATATGGGTCAGAGACGTGGGTTCTTGGAGCAGCAGATAGAAAGAAAGTCCACGCTTTCGAAATGTGGTGTTGGAGGATGCTGAGGATATCCTGGAAGGTTCATAAATCAAATGATTTTGTCAAGAGCCAAATTGGAGCGAAGGTCACCCTATGCCAGAAGATAGATGAGAAACTTTACTCAAGGAGTAACTCTACTCTGAAACATGCCATGGTAACATTAAACAGATTTGGATGAGAACATCCATTGGAGCCCAGTCTTTGAAAGGCCAATGGCCTCTGCTGGCTCCTTCATATTCTTTGTATTGTTTATATATTTGCTTGTATGTATAATGTATTGTTGAATGTATTTTCTATGAGAATTGGAAATAAACGAATGAATGAAAAATGAGGTTTTTATGAAAGTCATTAGACTACATGACAGGAAGACCGGATACTTGAACAGGATCGACTAAAAAAAACATAGCCTTAACAGCTCAATAGGTCAGGATAAAATACTATTGTTTTCCTTCAAATCTCATCTGTGGCATTACAGTCATAAAGGTCAGGGTCATTCCATTTGAAAGACGAGGGGTGTATTCTTAATTTAGGTCAGGATAAAATACTATTGCTTTCCTTCAAATCTCATCGTTTGTTGTTATTGTATTTTGTTGTTATGGCAATCAGTCAAGAACTGACTATAATCACCAACGCCTTTCTTGTTAATATTAATTTCCTTCTTTCTCTTTTTTCTCTCTGTGGTATTACACACATCAGGCTAAATTGCCAGGGTCATTAATTACCAATTCAGTAGCTTCCTCCTTTAGTGCTGAATGTATCCCCATAATGAATGGAGTGGGCGTACTCAGGACCTCGATCAGTGCAGCAGGCAGTACTGGTATATAGACATAACTGAAACAAGAACAAGAAAATGTAAAGAAATTATTCAATACCTGTGACTAATTGACTAATTACTCTCACATGATGCTAATGTATAGAATCAGAATTTTTGTGTATTATGGCTTTTTTTTGACCAGCTAACATTTTTTAGTTTAAAAAAAATTCATTGTGATTATTCAATGTTCACTGTTATCATCACACCAAATAGGAATGTTACAATATTAATTTGGACCATTTTCAGTGAGTCAAGGACTAGTGCCCATACTGCAAATTGGCAACACAGCACAAAAGCACTCAGTAACTTGTTTCAGCCCCTTTCCAACTCTATTTCAGTGCTAATAGTAGTGAAATGAGCACCTTGATTATTTCTCATTCTGCAAATTGGCAATGCAGAGCAAAATCATATACAGTGGCTTGCTTCAGGCCCCTTTCCTACCTGTATTTCAGTGGGAAGAGTAGTGAGATTAGCGCTCCGCATGCCTCGGTTAGTCTGGTGTAGCTCCGACAGTGAAACATGATCTTCTGGTCGGTCACGGCAGCGCAGAAGAGCGTGATGATGTTGTGAATACCTGTATGAAAATGAAATGGTGAATTTTAAAGATGGTTCTTTAAATGATAATAATACTAATATATCTTGTTTCCCCAGGACAAAGGCTAGTTTGGTTCTAGTTTATGAATGGTGAGTCAATATCCCGTGTGTGAGTGAGCTGGGACCATGCCGTTGCTCTTCTGGGCTCGGTGTGCGTCGGGCGGCACAGTGCTATGTGAAGGGGCATAATAAAATCAAGACTTAAAAAAAAAAACCCTCTTTACTTCATAATCTTCATTCGCATTATTTAATTTATGTTGAGACGCAGAGTTTAGCGAAAACCACTAAAAAGTAGCATTTTGAGGACTCAAAATATCCTGTACCCGTCTATAAGACGCACTCCCGACTTTTGGAAAAGTGTGTCTTATACACAGAGATTTATGGTATTTTGTGTTCAAACTCAACACAGGCCATGTTCACATATGACCTACCAAGGTGCTACATGGGGGAATGCACCCTTTATGTATGAAACGTGTTTCAGGAATCACCTTTAGACAATATCTTTAATGCAACTGAACAATGCTGTGGTATGTCAATACTTGCGTTTACACTCTTAACAAGTCGTGTTCACACATGTCCATACTAACCAAGTTGCTGTACAAGGAGAGCCACAGATGATCTTGAGACGGGCAAGGAATCACTGAGGGGCGGCTGCAGCGCTTGTCTGTCACCAGCTCCAATCGAGAATCGAACCTAGCAGCAGAAAGACGATAGATAAAAAATGCTGATAAAACATCTGGGATAAAGATAGTTGTATTCATGAACGTTTCAACAATGGTCCAGTTCAGAGAAAACTTTTCTCTTGTGATGAATAAAAAACAAAATTACCAACACGTTCTATCAAATGTTTAAAAAGAATATTTGATGCTTCGGCAAATACGCAGGAATGAGAAGATATATTGCCTAGTCTACAGTCAGATTAAAAGGTGATTTGGACCATATCTGTAAAATTTGTCTTTCTTTTCAGGAGGAATACCCATCTCAATACTTCATTCCTTAAACACAGAACCACCCCGACAACCTATTCTCCGCCCCACAGTATGCTTCCACCCTTTTTGGCCAATAGCCCTGACATCACAAGCTTGCTTACTCAAGAACCTCCAGGAGTCTCAATCAAATGGGAGGACAAGCTTCCTACCTGTGGGCCTCCTGGAGGGGGAACCTGGACATGACCAAAGATGTTTCCTTTCATAGCCTCAATTTCAAAAGATCATTCTTTTCCCCCTCCTCCCCTTCCCCTTTCCCCTTCCCCTTCTTCCCTCCCCCAGTGTTTCCCCCTTTCGAGTGTACAAGATTCCTTACCTGTGGGCCTCCAGGGGGCGGAACCTGGACATGTCCAAGGATGTTTCCTACCAGTGTCTCCATCTCAACTTCTACATTATCGACGTAAACAGTGTACATCAAACCCAGGCAGTTCTGAAAAAAATAGTCAAAATAATGATACAAATTAATCAATACAGACAAATGTCAGATATTGTATTGAAAACAGAGTTGCATTTTACCTCCATCAAGAGAAAACCCATGATCCTAATAGGTGAGTTTTGAGAAAGCTCAATCTACATTCAATATCTCGATCCTGATTGGATTATTTGCTAAAAGTTGCGTTTAAGTATGCAGCTTTTTTCATTTCACGTACCTTCAAGGTTTCGAGGTACATTATTCCTGAGATGAAAGTTTAAATACCCTTGATCCTGATAGGCTAATTTTGCAAAAAGCTGCTTTCAACCTGCACAAACATATCTTCAAGGTTTCAAAGTACTTTTATTTTTTACATCAAAGTTTTAAACCCTTGATCCTGATTGGCTAAGCTTGTGAAAAGCTGCATTCAACCTAAACAAACATACCTTCAACGTTTCAAAGTACTCCAATCTCGATATGAGCGCAAGACACTTGGGTGCGAACATGACTGTGTGTCGTATCAATGCCCCGTCCACCTCATCATTCTCCAGGTCGTCGGGTCGCGACGGGGTCGTGTTGACGATTTCGCTGAAGGTCAGGACGGCGCAGTAGTGGCGTCTGGCCTCGATGTCCGTCAGAACGGACACATGATAGGTCGGTGGTTGAGCCTTGCTGGTAATCCTCCATCCTGCGGGCTGGCAAAACTGCAAAGTGAGAAAAAGATAAAGAGAAATTGTTAAACATATATGTTATTTATTTATTCACAACTTTCTATTCATTCATTTATTCATTTATTCATTTATTTGTTTACAGTATTCATATTCTCACAAAGTGAGAAAAAGAAAAAGAGAAACTGTTATACACATATTACATGTATATATTATTTATTCACAACAGTCTATTCATTCATTTATTCATTTATGCATTTATTTGTTTACAGTATTCATTCATCATTTATACATCTATTATAATAGTCAAATCTGTACAGTGCTTAATACTGTGTTTCTAAGTACTGAACAAGTGGTTTATATTTAATTCATTTATTAATTTAATTAATGTTCACTGATTATTGATTTATACATTCATACATTCCTAAATTCATTCATTTATTCATTGATTCACTTATTCAGTTACAGAATTTATTACCTCATCGATTTACTCATTCACTGATCCATTTATTAATTTATCAATGATTACCCATTTATTTATTCATTTATTCATATCGATATCATCCTTTTTCAAATCTTTATAATCATGGCCAGACTCGTAGCTTTCAAAAGAGGAGATGAACCACCAAACTAGAAGTAGGTGTGATTTATAATCAATTAAAGAATATCTTTACGATGCTCAATTGCACATCCAAAACCTTACATGTACGTAACGGAAATGAAATGATTTCTTCATATCATGTAAAGTACAAATTTACCCAAAAGGACAATAAATGTAATATGCAACAAGCTATGATCAAACTGTACAGTACTGTATATACACATGTACATGTAGACATAACCTTTTCTCAGATCTAGACTATGCTTAGTGTAAACAATAAAAGTACAAAGACTCTTTGCACCGCCGTGGACGAGACCAACAAGGATCAGTTTGATCTGCTAACTTTGGCAGAGATGCAAGCATTTGAAAGCCGAAAATAATTCTCCCAGAGCAAAACCTCATCAAGATTCTTACTTCATACGTATGAAAGTTTCTCCATCTCTCTGCGTACCTGGCAGTCTTAGACAAGAAAAGTAGAAATCTGTCCAAACAAATCCAGAATTTTTTAAAGCTAAATAAGGAATCTCTCTGGGCAAAATAAGAAATTTCCATGAGTACAATTAGGAATTCAGTTTTTCAGATTTATAATCTGACAGGAATTGGCTTCAAAACAATGATTTGAAGGCTTTAAAAAAGGGGGAATATCTGATTTCCTCAAAAAATGGGATGGTTAGTAGCTATGTCGGGTGCCATCTAAAAACTGGCTATAGTACAAACTTCCTACAGAATTGGAATGTTGTTGCATGACAACACATCTAATTCTTCACAGAGAAAGTGAGATGTGCATGAATGTGAAGTTTAAAAACAATGGTAAGAAGGGGGAGGCGAGGGGATCGAGGAGGAGGGAATCATTCCCCACAAATAGGTTGGCAGCTACATGTACACTTGTACAACCAAGAAAATAAGGATTCTGATGCATAAATAACACATGTACTGTAGTCCTTCATACAAAGCCAGAGATGTGCATGAATGTGGAGATTCAAAACATTACTTAGAATGAAAAATGGCCCCCTCAAAGGAATGGTTGACAGCTATATTACTGGGTCACCCTTAGCTTTAGTACATACTTGTAGCTAGGAGAATTGGAATTCTGTTGCATTAAAAACACATGTAGTCTCTCACATAGCGAGTGAGCTAGATGCGCATGAATGTGGAGAGACCATGTGCAAAGCATAATGAGGCATGGAGAGAGAGAGAGAGAAAGCCCTGGCCGCCGCCGCCGATGTCGCCATGTAATTGCATCGCATCTCATGAGTCATGCACGACTGGACAGCTTGATAGCAACATGAAGATGCTCACAAGGTCTGTGAGACGTAAGCGACCCCACCCTACATGTTAAAGTATATCAGTGGGATTTGAGACGAGAGAGGGGAAGTGAGAGGAAGGGGAGGAATGGGGATGCTGAGAGAGGCTGAGAGAGACAGAGAGGGAGAAAGACAGAGGGGAAAAGAGACAGGGGAAAGGGAGAGACAGAATGGTATTAAGAGAGGAAAAAGAAAAAGAGATAGAGAGGGAAAGTGAGGGAGAAAGAGGGAGGGGAGAAGAAAAAGAGATAGAGAGGGAAAGAGAAAGAGAAAGGGGGAGGGGAGAAGAAAAAGAGAGGGGGAAGGGAGAAGAAAAAGAGAGACAGAGGGGAGAATAAAAAGAGATACAGAGGGGAGAATAAAAAGAGATACAGAGGGGAGAATAAAAAGAGAGACAGAGGGAAAGAGACAGAGAAAGGGGAGGAAAGGGAAAAGAAAGAGGGGAGGCTGACAGAGACAGAGAGTGAGAAAGACAGAGAGAGGGAGAAATTAAGAGACAGGGAAAATGGAGAGGGACAGAGGGAAACAGGAAGGGAGAAGAGGGAGGTGAAGATAGACAACCAGAGACTGGAAAGAGCTCATGATGAGAACAGAAGACAGAGGAGAGACGGAGAGTGCTAGGGGTGATGAAAAGAACAAGAAAAGAAATATGAGAAAAAAAATGGAAAAGCAGAAAGCTGGTAAGAGTGATGAAGAGTGAAACAGAGTGGAAGAGAGAAGGGGAATGTGTGGGATGTGCAGGGATTTGTGAGGATATGCGAAGATGGAGGGGAAAAGCTGAAGAGAATGTCAAGGCAGGGTTACATGCATTGGATGTACATTAGGGGCGCAGGTTACATCCGTTAGTAGAAAGAGCTAGAGGAGTACAATGGAAGAGAGTCCTCATGAGGAAGATGTGCAGAAAGGGAGAAGGATGGGTGTGGGCATACCAAGCGGGAGAAAGCTATGAGAAAAGACAAAAAAACTAAATCCACAATAAATCTAAATGGACATGAAGATAGATGAGCACAAGTGGGCAATTCAGAATACAGAGCAAAGCACAGGATTCTATATTTTTCATATGAATTACTTTTAATCAACACCGACTTTAATCACAAACCCTACATGTACTCATGTACCAAGCTACACTGTAATACAAAAGTCCTTCTCATCTAAATTGGGTTTGTACATGTTGGCCTACTTCACTTAATGTTGGCCGTCACACTATAATGTATCAAGGCTCCTTGTACCAGGTACGGATGGATGCCTGCCATCTCATGAGTCATGCCTGGCGATGCTCATCAGTCTCTAAAAATTACATTTTCTTTTAACCAAACTGATTTTAATCACAAACATGGCTAAACCATAGAAAAAGACCTTTCCAACTGAATTGGGTTTGTACAAGTATGATGTAATGTAGGTCGACTATACTAGACATACCGACTGCATGTACGAGACATATAAAGGCTCTGTGAACCTATAATAAATGTAAAGCCTGGATGCCTTTCGTCTCATGAGTCGTGCCTCGCGATGCTCATCAGTCTCTAAAAGAAATACATTTTTCCTTTAATCACTGATTTTAATCACAAACTTGACTAAACCATAGGAAAGGTCCTTTCCAACTGAATTGGGTTTGTACAAAAGTATGATATAATGTAGGTCGACTATACCAGACATACCGACTGCATGTACAAGACATATCAAGGCTCTGTATACCAGGGACAAGCCTGGATGCCTTTCATCTCATGAGTCACGCATAGTGATGCTCATCAGTCTCTAAGCATTACATTCTTCTTATAATCAACACTGATTTTAATCACAAACATGACTAAACCATAGAAAAAGACCTTTCCAACTGAATTGGGTTTGTACAAGTATGATGTAATGTAGGTCGACAATACTAGACATACCGACTGCATGTACGAGACATATCAAGGCTCTGTGAACCTATAATAAATGTTAAGCCTGGATGCCTTTCGTCTCATGAGTCGTGCCTCGCGATGCTCATCAGTCTCTAAAAGAAATACATTTTTCCTTTAATCACTGATTTTAATCACAAACCTGACTAAACCATAGGAAAGGTCCTTTCCAACTGAATTGGATTTGTACATATACTGTACATAATGTAGGTCAACTATACCAGACATACCGACTGCATGTACAAGAGATATCAAGGCTATGTATACCAGGTACAGTGAGCCTGGATGCCTTTCATCTCATGAGTCAGGCATAGTGATGCTCATCAGTCTCTAAGCATTACATTCTTCTTATAATCAACGCTGATTTTAATCACAAACATGACTAAACCACAGAAGAAGGTCCTTTTTAACTGGATTAGGTTTGTACAAGTATGTTGAAATTTAGGTCGACTCTACTTGACAAACCGACTGAATGTACAAGACATATCAAGGCTCTGTATACCAGGTACATGTAAGCCTGGATGCCTTTCATCTCATGAGTCATGCCTGGCGATGCTCATCAGTCTCTAAGAAAAATAATTTTTTTCCCCCCCATAATTATCACTGATTTTAATCACAAACATGACTAAACCATAGAAGAAGTCTTTTCCAACTGGATTGGGTTTGTATGATGTAGGTCGACTATACTAGACATACCGACTGCATGTACGAGACATACCAAGGCTCTGTGAACCAGGTACATGTAAGCCTGGATGCCTTCCATCTCGTGAGTCATGCTTGACTTGTGGTGATGCTCATCAGTCTCTAAGAAAAATTACATATTTCTTTTAATCAGCACTGATTTTAATCACAAACATGACTAAACCATAGAAGAAGTCCTTTCCAAATGAATTGGGTTTGTATGATGTACAGTACATGTAGGTCGACTATACTAGACATACCGACTGCATGTACGAGACATACCAAGGCTCCGGATACCAGGTACAGCTGTACATGTAAGCCTGGATGCCTTCCAGCTCATGAGTCATGGTCGACTTGTAGCGATGCTCATCGCTCTCTAGGGCTTCATGACCCACCTGCTGGTGTAATGGTATCCAGCATTATGGAGATAAGATTTCATGAAATGTTCACCTCCATCTGATAACAAATATCCCCAGGGAATAAAAAGGAATACAACATTAAAGGAGAAGACTTGCTTTATTGTTTTTGTTTTTTTGTTGTTATTGCTTTTTT